AGTAGGGTTGAAGCTCTTAGTGTTCTAAGGATTATGGAACTTGGCGAGTTGGTGGATCAATTAGGTGAGTTGAGTCAACCAGATGTTGACTTTGACCCAGAGTTAACTTTGACCAAGTTGTTGACCTTGACTTTGACTTTGACCAAAGTTGACCCTAGAAAGGGGGTTAAGATTATGAAATCTTAATTAAAGAAGATTATTATGTGTAGGAATTGAGGGGATTTGATCCCCGCAGCGACGGAAGTTAAGACTCTTCACGACACTGAGGTGAGTTACCTTCAGTAGAAGTGGGTGGATGGCACCAAGGTCGGCCCACTAGTAAGAGTTATAGTAGAGATAACTATGTTTGTGATATTTATCTGGTATATTGTTATATGTTTTTGATTATGTGCTAGTATGATATGATTTTATGTGATATGTGATAGAAGGGGTAGGATAGACCCTAGTACCGGTCGATAGGGCCGAATGGGTATGCCAGTACCCAGATAAGCTAGGCAGTGTATAACTTGTATGTTTATGCACTAGGATGCTATGTAGTAGATTAGGGGTAAAATCGTCCCCATTACCGGTCGAAAGGATTGAAGGGGTAGGCCAGTACCCTGATATGCTAGGGAAGGTTACCAGTTTACAGGACCGAAGGGGTAGGCCAGCACCTTGATATGCTAGGCTAGGTACCTGTCGACAGGATCGAAGGGGAGGCCAACATCCAGATATACTAGGGCAAAGTATGAGTCGACAGGACCAATGGGGTAGTTAGTACCCATTTATGTCATGCAGTATGTGTTAGGTATGGTATGTGGTATGATGGGGGACCTCACTGAGCTTCATGCTTACAGCTTTTAGTTTCTTTCAAGTACCTCTTCAGCGAAGGGGAAGGAGCTGGCACGGTAGCTGCGCATCACACACACATGATTTCCGCACTATGACATTCTTAGGATTATACTCTGATGTTATTTTGTTTTCATGATATGATTTGATACATGTGATTGCGGTTTAGATGAAATGATATGACTTGATGATGTTTTCTTATAAACAATATTCTAAATTGTTAAATCAAAAACGGAATTTTTGGTTTTGAAAATTGGGATGTTACACAAAGACAACGTCATTGTGTTCGTACTTGGATTTCTTCCTGAAAAACTGAATCTTGAGTGATTCATTCTTGGGTTTGGAGAATCTGACTTTGATATTGGGATCAATTTTATATCTTCGACCGATAACATTTCTAAATTTCTTTCAGTTAATTCGATCATTCAGCTCAAAGACTCTGTTTTGATTGGCCACATTAATATTGAAACATTTAATATTTATCACTTGAGTATCAACAGATGCAATGGTATGAGCAAGTTTGATAGATAGACGTTCATCTCTTCTTGGTCGAATTGAAGGATTATGTTCCAACATAATTTCTCTGGCCTCCTCCACGGTCATTTGCAAGTCTTCATCTAAATCTTACAAATCAACTGTTAACTTGCTTTTCTTGGAATGGGGAGGGACTAAAGAACCACTAGTTGTTGGAACTTCCAGCTTCAACGTCATTTTCTCTCCCCCCCCCCCCTAAGAATGAAGCCTTTCTTTTTCTAGGATTGAGCTTATCACAATCAGACTGAATAGCGTTGTGATTTCCATGAGGAATCTCCCTTTCAGAATATGTATAAAGGAAAACAATAGTTTGTGCCATAAAATCCAAATAAAGAAACCATTCATACTTATTAGTCTCATCACAATGTCTAGAATAGGATGATCATCATTCATTGCTTTAGATTGAAAGACAACCATTTTTACTTGATTATCCTCCCTTCATTCTTCAGATAGATCAAGTTGTAATGGAGTTACATTCTCCATCACCGGTTCTTTTCTATTCTCCCCATCTTTGGCATCATCATTTTGGGGAGGAGTGTCATGGGGTGGTGAGGGAGTGCGAGGAAGAGGATTCATTGGAGGTTGAGGAGGGTTATTTCTAGGCACTAGTAGAGGTGGCTGATTATTGCAAGATGGTGATGGGTGTGGATTATTCCTAGGTGGAGGAGGATGTGGTTGATCATTTCCCGGAGAGCTATGTCAAGTGTCTTCAATCATCATTAACCAAAGCCATTATACATTTGATGTTAGCTCCATCATTCTCTACTTTTGTTAGTCTTTCTCCAAGAGATTGAGTCATTTGAACCAATAGAAAGAGCACATTCATTTGAAAGTTGGAGCTAGACTCCCTCTGAAAGGTAGCATAAGTTTGTATAGGAATTTACATTGGGGGAACATTTGCAACCTGTGGAGAAGGAGACAATGTTCATAGAGAATTCACATCTTGAATCAGCTCAGAGACTCTGTTAATACAATCATTTATCTCAGAGACTCTAATTCATTTGGCCACATCAATATTGAAATATTGAATATTTATCACTTGAGTATCAACAAATGCAAGGGTATGAGCAAGTTTGATAAATAGACGTTCATCTCTTCTTATTCGAACTGCATCATTATGTTCCTACATAATTTCTCTGACCTCCTCAATGGTCATTTTCAAGTCTTCATCTAAATCTTCCAAATCAATTGTTAACTTGCTTTTCTTGGAATGCAGAGGGGCTGAAGAACCACTAGTGGCTGAGGAGCTTCCAACTTTAATGATATTTGCTCCCCTAAGAAGGAATCCTTTATTTTTATAGGAATGAGCTTATCATAATCAGACTGAATATTGTGTTGAGTTCCACGAGGAATCTCCCCTTCAAAATATGTATAAAGGAAAACAACACTTTGAGGTACAACAGTTTGTGCCATAAAATCCAAATCAAGAAACCCTTCATACTCATTAGTCTGATCATAATGTCTGGAATATGATGATCATCATTCATTGCTTCAAATTGAAAGAAAATCATTTTTCCTTGATTATCCTCCCTTCATTCTTCAAATAGATCAAGTTGTAATGGATTTACATTCGACATCACCAGTTCTTTTCTGTTCTCCTTGTCATTGGCATCATCAGTTTAGGGAGGAGTGTCACGGGGTGGTGAGGGAGTGCAAGTAGGAGGATTCATTGGAGGTTGAGTGGGGTTATCTTTAGGCAATGATGGAGGTGGCTAATTATTCGAAGATGGTGATGATGTGGATTATTCCTAGGTGGAGGAGGATGTGGTTTATCATTTCATGGAGAGCTATGAAGAGTGTGTTTAATCCTCATATCATCATCATTAACCAAAACCATTATGAGTTTGATGTCAGCTCCATCATTCTCTACTTTTGTTAGTATTTCTCCAAGAGATTGAGTCATCTGAACCAATAGGGAGAGCACATTCATTTGAAAGTTGGAGGTAGACTCCCCCTGAAAGGTAGCATAAGTTTGTATAGGAATTTACATTGAGGGAACAATTGCAACTTGTAGAGAAAGAGACACGTATCATAGAGAATTCATATCTTGAATCAGTGGATCAGTAGTTTCCACTTGAGGTGGAGGTGATCTTTGTTGTACTATATCTTTTGCAAAAGGATTTGTTGATGAAGTAGAAGTCGAAGAGAAGCGAACATGTTGGTTCAATCTTGGAGGAGAATTAGTCATTTCTTAACGTAGTGATTTGCAACCGAATTCTCCATAGTATGGGTATGATTCACATCTCCATCAGACAGGCCAACGTTGATAATCTTTAATGAAAGAAATAGAATTGGTATGGAGAGTCTATAACTGACATCATAACCCTCGCTTGTATGAGCCAAAATTATTGCAAGACAGCGAGGATAAGGAACATATGTTTCCTTCTTGTTCCTAGTGACACACTCAACCAGTTGATTGAAGAAGAGTTGAGAAAAATCCAGTCTTTTTGTTGCAAGCCATGACGTACAAAATTTGTTTCTTGAATAGGTTTAATTGATGTAAGCTTCCTCTCTTATGTCCAAAACATTTTCCAATGACCCATGATAAGTACTCCCACTCTTCACAATAGCATTGATAGAGGGTGTATTTGGTTAGGTCACGAGTAGTACCATGACGAGAGAAGTTATACTCAAATATTGAACGAATAGACTTGCAATTTTCATTAGAAACGGTTTTTTAATAGTTTTTTTGATCGGGGAAGACAAAGAGTAGTTTGAAAATATGTTGTATTGATAACAACCCATAGTGATTGTCTCTAATGGTTTCGATGATGGTTTGATCATTAGAGTCGACAGAGAAAGAATAATAAAAGTTAGATAACTACTTAGGATAGAATAGCTATCCGAAATCATACAATGAATAGCGAAGAGGGTAAATTTTGACGTAGTTGATGAATTCTTCAACCCCTAACTTCTTGTACTGATTTGAGATAATATCAAAGAATGCAATGTTGTTTTCTTGAATGGAAATGGGAGTATCAGGAGCATGGGGGCCTTTGACCGCATTAGTATCAGGAGAAAACACATAGATAACCGTCGACATGATGAAAACTGATGGGTTTTGAGCACTATAACAATCCTATGGTGCACATACAACCCTAATGCTTTGGATCTAGGTTTTTCTCAAGTTATACATGCAATTTTCATTTATCCAAAGCATGAACCCTAACTAGCATATAATTTTGAGATTTACAACATAAAACAAGTCAGATGAATGCCTCTTTATTGTAGCTTGTAGAACTTGGCATTTCAAGAGCTTAGTGCCTCAAATCAATCAAAAACACCAAAATTAAGAGGATGCTTATGAGAGAGAGAGAGAGAGAGGTTATGAAGCACCAAAACAGGCTAGGGTTACACCTTGGAAGTCTTGGCCGATTTTATGGGTGTTAGGGGTTACATTTATAGTGTGTAATTCCTAGGGTTTCATACATAAAACCCTAATTTACTTACACCTTTAAGTATTCCAATAATCCATTTGATAGACCCTTTGGACTAACTCTTCATGGACTCTCACATAGATTTAGCCCATCCCTAATCAACATGGATCATTAGCCCAAACTATAAGTATTATTGATTTACCTAATCAGTCCCTTCAAATTTGATCAGTCACTTTTGATCACTAAATTAATTCCAAATTAATTCTTGACCAATACCAATAATAATATATTATTCATATAATATATTAATAAATCTTAAATAACCTCTTTCTCAAATATCCATCCTATCAAATTCCTCATGTGAAGGCAACCCAAAAGGACCATGCTATTATCGGGTCAAGTACATACCAATTATAGTTATAGGCTTAGAAACTTAATCCAACAGTCTCCCACTTGGATAAGTCTAATAACTATAACTGCAATGTAACTTCAAAATCTGATTAGAAATCGTAGCTCTCAAAAGCCGATGTGGAACTCTAACGTAGTCAATAACTCGTCCTTTAGATAAGGGATCATATAATCCTTTGTTCTTCAAGATGTCGTGTGGAAAAATATATGGAATAAAGTCATATCATAATCCAATAGTTTGTTTCCTGATTTCTGATTTGTCTGACGTAGAACTTAATTGAACGCATCAATTTAGTCATGACTGGGCCCGACATATTAGTTAAAACAAAATCATTGAGGGGCCCATGATATAGCTTTTAATCCTCTTAGGATAAAAGGAACAGATAAACATCGACTTATATGCTTGTAATAATTTCTTGTTAAATTATACACAACAACATGTTTTATAACATCAAATTACTGATGCGTTTTCATACTATCAATTCAAAAACAACTCGTAATCAACAACTCATATATATTGGTTTGAAGACTATACGATATGATCATCTCACAATCACTCGTGATAAATTCCATGAAGTGATTCATGTGAGCGTGAGTTTAATCCAATACTCAAATCTTATTTTAGGATCACTCATGAACATTGTAGTAGACTTTTGCTATGTCTAAACACCTTAGATAATCTACAAGCTCATTCATGACAGTCTAACCTTATAGCATAATTCCAAAGTATGATTGACAGTGGATAGTTCGAATAATCATATTATTATGGAAGTCAAAACATGCAAAAAGTGAAACATAAAATAAAGAATTGACAAAAGACAGTTAACTTTAGTTATAAATAAAACCCTTATTACTTAATCATTAAATGTTAATTACATTTATTTATTACAAGTTTCTGATTGCCTATCTAATCACTAAAACTAATATCGTCTCTTAGGCCAATGCTCTTAGCATGCTGGAAATGCTTAACCCTACTTAGTCCCTTCGTAAGGGGATCTGCTAGGTTATCCTCTTACGATATCCTCTTCACTACGGGGAGTCCCTCCTCTACTTGATGTCTTATGAAGTGATATTTATTGTTGATCTGCCTGGATCTACAATGATCCCTTGGTTCCTTGGTTAAGGAGACTGCACCCTCGTTGGCATAGAAAATCTCCATAGGCTCCTTTATAGCTGGTACCACTCCAAGGTCTCTGATGAAGTTCTTTATCCATATTACCTCCTTCGGTGCTTTTCTAGCTACTATGTACTCTGATTCGCACATTGAATCAGCTACAGTCTCCTATTTGGAACTTTTCCATGTTGCTACTCCTCCATTTAGGGTAAATACAGTGCCTGACTGAGAGAGAAAATTATCTCGGTTGGTCTGAAAGCTAGCATCACTATACTCTGTCAATCTTAAGTCATCACACCCACCGATGGTAAGGACCCATTCCTTAGTGCTCAACAGGTACTTAAGAATGTTCTTTACTACTATTTAGTGCGTCTTACCAGGATTCCATTGATACCGACTAACCTTGCTCAAGGAAAAATCCACATCAGGGTGAGTACATGTCATAGCATACATGATCGAGCCAATGGAAGAAGCATATGGTAATCGACTCATTTAGCCTATTTCGACATCGGTACTCGGACTCTGAGTCTTAATCAGTTTGGTATTGATCTGGATAGGTAATTCTTGTTTCTTGGAATTCTCCATCTTGAAAATGTTTCAACACCTTCCAATTAGGTACTTTAACTAAGTCCTAATACTCTTTTTCTCCTATATCTCAATATCCTTATCCCTAGAATGTAAGCAGCTTCCCTGAGATCCTTCATAATGAAACACTTCCCAAGCCAGGACCTAACTTCCTGGAAGGTTGGAACGTCATTTCCTATGAGCAGTATGTCATCCTCATACAATACCATAAAGCTAACTATACTCCCACTGGCCTTGACATATATGCATGAATCATCCTCAATTGTCGAAAAACCAAACTCTTTGACTTTCTCATCAAAATAAAGATTCCATCTGCAAGATGCTTGCTTTAATCCATAAATGGATTTTTCAAGCTTGCACACTCTATTAGGGTACTTTGCATCTACAAAACCCTATGGCTGACTCATGTAAACATTTTCAGCCAACTTCAAATTAAGAAAAGCAGTTTTCACATCCATCTGCATATTTCATAATCATGAAACACGACTATTGTAACAGCTCGAAATCTAGGTATTCTTCTTTTGGCCGTGCATCTTGGTTAAGTTGTTAATTTAGGGTTTTCATGGTAGGCGAGTACGCTGGGCGTACAAGGTGTACGCTGCGCATACTCGCACACCTCATTTTGGACGCGTTCACCTTCAGGTACGCGGGGCGTACCCAATGTTACGCCCGGCGTAACTTATACAGATCTAAACCCTAATTTCCTTAGGAGGGATATAAAAGGAATGTGTGGCTGGACTTTTCAGCCACCATCCCTTAGAGTGAAACCCTAAAATGTGTGTGCATTCTTTCTTTAGCCATTGTGTGTGTATTCTAAGCTTGGTGGTGCCATTCCAAGGTTGCAAAGGAGAAGAAGAGCTTATTGGAAAGGCTAGAAGTGGTGGTCAAGTGTAAATCTGAAATTTGCAAGGGTTAAAGCTTCATTATCAGGTAAAAAGTTCGGATCTTGTCACTTGATTCATGTTATATGCTTAAGGTATCATTTTCTAGGGTTTAAGTCCCAAAGGTGGAGACTTTTTGTGCAAATGGCCTCCATAAGCTTAGATACTTCATATTTCTGATCTATTGGAGTTGTAGACTCATAAAAATGGCATCTTGGTCGTGGATATTGCACCATGCATGAGATCTAGGTCCTTGAGTTGGAATAAAATGGTTTTATGTGATGTTGGAGCCTTTACTGGTATGCCAAGGCTTAAAGGTCTCGACTTTATGGGTTTAGACACACTAAAAGAGTCGGATCTAGAAGTTGGAGTAATGGCTTAACCGATTAAGACCAGAAATGAAGAGTGTTGGATTCTGATGGTTACGCTGGGTGTAACTTCCAGTACGCGCAGCGTACTGGTTGGAGACCCAGATCCAGGGGATTAGCGATGTACGCCCCGCGTACATCTAGCAGTACGCCCCGCGTATTCTCAGAGTTGACTTTTGTTGACTTTTGGGGTTTTGGTCAACATGAGGACTTTAGGTCAAGGAAGGGTAAAATGGTCTTTTACCCTCTGAGGAATGATGATAAGGGGTAAAGTTTTAATGGTGGAAGTCTTTGTGTATTAAATGATATTTTTATGTTTAGGCGAGGTAGAGTCGTCATTGGGATTTGTTGATAGCAAGGACGCGAGATCTTAGACTTTCCACGAGGTGAGTCTTCTCACTATACTGTACCCAGAAGGGTTTGACTGTGTGACTGGAAGGTTAGATATGATATGAGATATATGTATTATGTGTGATAAGTTAATCATTATATGTGCCATGTATGATATGCTTGATATGGGCCGGAAGGCATTATGTTATGGGCCGGAAGGCGAATATGTTATGGGGCAGAAGGCATTGTGATATGGACCGTAAGGTTGACGTGGGTTGGACCGGAAGGTTTACCTAGTCGGGACGGAAGTCCCCTGAGACACATGGACAGGAAGGTTAGGGCCTGGAAAGGCGTATGTGCATAAGTTGTATTTTGGGGAACTCACTAAGCATTTATGCTTATAGTTGTTGTGTTATGTGTTTCAGGTACTAGCGAGGACCGTGGGAAGGCGTAGGCGTGATCGGACACATTGTCGGGGAAAAACTATTTATGATCATTGGGATGTATTTTGTTGTGACAATATTGTTCTCGTTTGAATTTGAAATATTAATCGATGTTTTTGATGTTTACAAAAATTAAATTTTGGTTTTAAAATTTACGTCGTTACAAGTTGGTATCAGAGCCTTGGTTTGAGGGATTCGGATACAACTTCGGGCATAACTGAACTCAAACCGGGGATTTGAAAAATTTTTAATTAATAAAATCAATAAAATTTTGATAAGAGATTTTGAAACAACCAAAGAAGAAGAAGTGTGTACGGTCAGCCAGCGCCCGAATGGTAAAATCCCCAAAATACTCTTACAATATGTGTTATGAGATATGATATGATATGATACGCATGCTAGTAGACTAGGTATTCATATTAGGACTAGTGTGGCCTGATTTGTGATGCCTTAGTCTAGGGAAATCTGCTACTATGAGGTGCTTTGAGAGTGAGTGGGTAGCTAGTGCATGGCAAGAATAGAGTACTCATGATCCGG